GAATCGTGATTCAAGATGAAAGAAGCTCCCGGAGGTTGTACTGGGACAGTTTGGTGTGGGTAAAGGGAACTCAAGGCAAAGTGTGCTATTTTTAGCGGGTGCGTCGTACTCGCTAATAGTTCATGTAGCTAAGGCGTGGGGCGGCAGTGGGGACTTAGTCGAAGGTAGTATTCTTGATCATATGGACACATCGCTAAAAAACATTAATAATCGCGTTTCGGATACTGGGTGGCTAATTGGTGGTAATTTAGTTACTGTACTTACTATTAACGTGTTCAAGCCTTTTAAACTGTTAAATGTGTATATATGATATATATTTATATAGTATATAGTAGATTTAATGGAATAAATTATACAGTGTAAGGCATGCAACATTTATTTAATATAATTGTGATTAATTCTCCAAAACTATAGTTATAATCAGTGACAATATAAATGAATAATTAAAAAATAAAAGTAAAATATAAACTGCCCAAAAAAATATTCATTAGCAAAAAGTGACGGATTGAATGTTTGGGTGTTTCGGCTGAGATAATAGACATCGTGTATCGCGATGGGCGTGCAGTATATCTGATCTGAGTGGGCATCGCGGCGTGTGAGTTCAGAGCTATGCGACGAAGAGTAGAGGCACAGGTTTCTGTGAACCATTCTCTACTGGCGTAGACACGGCGTGGAGTGGAATCCGGACAGCAGCAGCTTAATACTGGCCACTATTATTCACGGATGATGGAGGCGCGTCATATACTACAAAGTAAGCGCGCGTGCATGTGTGCGTGCGTGGCGTGCGTGTGCGGGTGCTCTGTGGGCGTGCGTGCAGTGTGTGATGTTCGTGCGTGCTGGGGGCGGTGAGGGTGCGCTGCGTGCATGTGTCACGTGTGTGTATGTGCGTGGTGTGGGCAGGGTGGGAGGGTGGCTGGTCGTGGCATGTGTCACGTGTGTGTATGTGCGTGCGTGCTGGGCAGGTGGGAGGGTGCGGTGCCTGCATGTGTCATGTGTGTATGTGCGTGCGTGTGGGCAGTGTGGGAGGGTGCGCTGCATGCATGTGTGCAACGTGTGTGTATGTGGCGTGCGTGCTGGGCGGGGTGGGAGTGGTGGCGCTGGCGTGCATAGTTGTTCACGTGTGGTGTATGTCGTGCGTGTGGGCTGGCAGGTGGGAGGGTCGCTGCATGCATGTGTGCACGTGTGTGTATGTGGCGTGCGTGCGGACAGGTGGGAGGGTGCGCTGGCATGCTGATGTTGTCACATGTGTGTATGTGCGTGCGTGCTGGGGCAGGTGGGAGGGTGCGCTGGTGGCATCGTGTCAGCGTGTGTGTATGTGCGTGCGTGCTGGGCAGGTGGGAGGGTGCGCTGCTGGCATGTGTCGTGTGTGTCATGTGCGTGCGTGCTGGGCCAGGTGGGAGGGGTGCGGCTGGCTGCACTGGTGTCACGTGTGTGTAATGTGCGTGCGTGCTGGCAGAGTGGGAGGGTGGCTGCATGCTGTGTACACGTGTGTGTATGTGCGTGCGTGCTGGGCAGGTGGGAGGGTGCGCTGCATGCATGTGTGTGTATGCGTGCGTGCTGCGGGCAGGGGGTAGGAGGGACTGCATGCCATGTGTGTGTTATGCGTGTGTGCATGTGTGCTGGGTGGGTATGAGGATGCATGCATGCACGTGCAAAGAGGGGTGCATGCATACATGTGTCTGGGTTGGTGGGTACATTGCGAGAGTGGGTGTGTGTGCTTGTGCGTGTGTCGCTATGTCCGTGCGTGTGTCGCTATGTCCGTGCGTGTGTGCGTGCGTTATAAAGCATATCTGTTAAACGCACGATCATTGCAACGTGTCGTGCAAACAATTTATCGCCATCTATTGGTCAATTGGTCCGTAAAATCTTGTCGATTCCTTCATGTTCTGTAGAGATAGCAAGGAGGATTTGATGCAATTGTCAGAGGAACAAAAGAAGGAGATTCATAAAAAGGAACAGTCAAGGTATGTTTATCTTACAACATCATGTTGCATAATGTTTTACGGTAAATGTGTTTTGTAGCAGTGTAAACGTGTACTTTGAATGGCTGATGGATATCAGGGGCGTAGCTAGGGTGAAATGGATGTGTACGCACACAGGCGGGGGGTCTGGTGGTCCTCCCCCAGAAAATTTTAAAATGTAGATCGAGGTAGATGGTATTTTTGAGGCACTTTTTGAGTAAATGTTATAGCTTCTTTGACTAGCAATTATCTTTGTTAGTAGAATATCTATTCATGAGCAACAAAGATGTGATACTAAAGATATATATAACTAATCATGTAATTTATTAGTCGTTTTATTATCAAGACATGTTGAACTAACGCACATTCTTAAACTCTCTCTTTCTCTGCTCCTCTCTGTGTGCGTGCGTGCGGCGTGCGTGTTCGTGGGTCGTCGTGGCGTGCGTGCGTGGCGGGTGCGTGCGAAGCGAGCGTGATGCGTGTGTGTGTGCTCAAACACACACATGCCTATTTGGCACATCACATACATCACGCGGCATTGGTTTAAGTCGCGTTCATTATTCAATGTGTAGGGGTGACTACCGCTTCTGGGATGAGGGCGACAGCAAAACTGTTTCTTGGGGAAATTGGTGAAAAAGGCTGCAAAAGGGTTGTAACCTGCTTTGCCACTTCAAATATATAATTTTAACCCATGCATCAGGTGACCGTTTTGTACAGGCCGCGCGACTATGTAAAAATTGTTAGTCCAACAGAGGGGGTACTAGGCCACCATCCATCCCCCCCTAAAAATCCGCCACTGGATGTAGTAAGCTTTGTGAGTAGAGATATTCATATAGACAATGTCAGAGAGAGGAACCAGTTACGCTGGATGACTAGTGTGTGATAAATGGTTGAATAAAGAGATCAAAAAGATTCGTTAAAATAATGAAACATATATTCACGCTAAACGATAAATCAAAATCCCTCCTTGAAGACTCATGAGCAAAAAAAATGAAGAGTGGTCACTCGAGCGCACAGACCTCCGGCAAGGCAGCTGAATTCCTCGTCATATTGAAATTTTTGATTAATTTATTAATTTATTAGCTTTGGGGGAAAAAAAAATTCAATTAATATAATTAATTAATTGGATGCGGATAATCGCGAGCGTGGCAGGTGGGGGAGGATGTGGTTGCCTTAGCCTGTGGTTGCGTGTTTGTAAGTCTAGCAGCCAGCGGCACGCTAGTGAAAGTGAAATGAAGTTGCATGTTCACGAAACCACAAAAACAACACTGGGTCAAAACACGGCGGTGAAAACATTAAGCGCTGCCGCGAAGGCCCTGCGGAGGTCAACTATAACAGTTCAGCGGTAAATAAACAGACATAAACACATGACTTGATCTCTCTCTCTCTCTCTCTCTCTGTCGCTGCAATAAAAAAAATATTTTTTGGTGAAATGATGTGTATGCAACTGCGTATCTGCGTTATGGTAACTACACCCCTGGATATTTATCGTGAATGCAGGGCCCTGAATTTCACCGTGGTTGCCCTCCTTGCTGCTCTTTAAAAACTAACGTAATTATGACGAGAGTTTTCCAGTGTTTTCACCACTTTCATGACACCTACCATTATTGCTTGAGTAACAGCAATTGTCTAGAGTAACAATTAAATGTCTTAGAACCTTTGTATTCACCAAAATATGCACGATTACAACTTTTGTTTACATATTTCGTTTCTATTGCCATCTCTCGAACTTTCTCGCGGTGAGCGCGAGACATCGACCCGGGTGCAGTAGAAAATAGTCGCACCGCGGCAGTTTTGGTTCGAGTGTAAACGCAGAGGTTTAGACTAGCGTACGGGGAGTGTAATACTGATGCCCGGTAAAGAAGCTGATCGCCAAGGCTCATTCGGAACCTTTTCCGACTCGCATAGCTCTGCTTTGACCACTCCTCTTCTTCCCTGAACTCAAAAGTACATGCCCTACTGCTTCCATGGTTGTTTGATTTAAATGCACACACAAATACATGCCCCTTTGTTTTAATTATGTGCACTTGTTTTGAAAGCACCATTTGTGATTTTGTGAGTCGGCATACGATAAAATTTATTGTTGTTACGATGTGTTTATATCCAATTTTCTATGCTATAACTGCATAAAATCTTGGTGTTTTTAATGTTGGTGTAATCAGTGATATTTCTGCAGTCAGGTGAGACTATATTCAGCTATATTTAGTTTTTCTGAGCAAAAATCACGCAAGAATTAGTTTAATGGTATCCACGGCAATATACCATGGTAACCATGGTAACATACCACCATCATTGCCCTACTTGCCATGGTTTGCTTCCATGCCCTTCCCATAATTCCATGTTGTGTAAGAATCTCTCATTGAATTGTCCTCAATGTCCTTGATAACCTTAGTGGCTCTTCGAAGGAAATGTTTGCCTTGGTTTCCCTCCAACTTGCTGTTGTGCCGTAAAATTCCTTCACCTACAGATAAATAATTAAAAACTGAATAATTATTGAATAATATGATAATGTTATAGTATATTTATAAAATATATTTTAAAAACTATGATCGTGTAATCGTACTTAAATTATTATTGAATAATTTTTACGTTTATGTGTACTTGTGCACACTGCATGTGAATGTAACTGTAAATGTACGATTTCTTCATGATCGTTGATCTTGCAGGTTGAATGTTGCCTCTCGGTACTCCTCGTCGCCCCGCAAGGAGAAAGCCCTGAAGATCTACACGGAAGACAATCCGAAACCAAAGAGCATTGCAGAATGATGGCGTCCTTCATTGCCGTCGACGACAACGACGAGGGCGGTATTGACGTCATCGTCTATGTAATCATCATATGTACTATTTATGTATAAATACTGTGACTGTGCTGACACGTCGGCGCGTGTCCGTGCGAGCGTGGCGTCCCCTGGAAACAATGGCAGCTCGCGGACGTTATTATTATAGTCGGCAGCTTCTCTGAGCGTTGTACACTATCCTCCGTGGGAGAGAGAGGGAGGTAGATAAAGAGAGAGAGAGAGATAGAGAGAGAAAGCGAGAAAGAGGTTGCATTCTAGCTGCTTACATTTAATATTAACGAGTGGTGACCCCTGTTGGGCATTAAACCCTCGACGGTTGATTGGAGCCGTGCGTTAGTGACTAGCCTTATATATATATATATATAATATCAGTAGTCAGTGTAAAAAAAGATGATATCTTGAAATCTGTACATTCTTAGAATTTCTATTATTAGTAGTAGAAGTAGTAATAGTACTAGTTGTAGTTGTATAGTGGTAGTAGGTAGTACATGTTAGTGGTGTATTATTTTAAATTCTTCAAAGAGCAAGTTTGATAACGTGTATGGGTAAATACACTATCAGGTTTCATTTACACAGCACTGTTGCTGCAGAGATGTGTGCGTTTCTTGCCTTGTAGGGTTGCAAGTTCCTCATAGACACGATCTTCGCAAAAGGAATGACGGTCCTCGACTCTAAGAAGCTCATCTTACCTGAGATCAAGACACAGTGTGCTCTCGAAATACCTCTAAACAGGTGCGCCCTCCGCATTCATCAAACGCTCGACGAGGAATCGCCGAAAATGTCGCTCGTTTGTTAGAGCCGTTATCGCCGATTCACACTCTCTGTCACGGCTGTATATTTGTCACCATCTTGTCAGGATTGACTCCTCAGTTTTGGTCAAGAATGTGTGAAAGTCAAGTGTTATATCTCGGTATCTGTATGTCTGTCTGCCTTCCTGCTCATCTGTGTGTTTATCTATCTATCTATTTATCTATCTATCTATTTATTTATCTATCTATCTATCTATCTATCTATCTATCTATCTATCTATCTATCTATCTATTTATTTATCTATCTATCTATCTATCTATCTATCTATCTATCTATCTATCTATCTATCTATCTATCTATCTATCTATCTATCTATCTAACCACCTATTTATCCATCTATCTATCTATCCACCCATTATTCACATATCCAACTTCCAATCCATTCCCATATTTTACTTTGCTGTCCCCTGGCAGTCTCTTTCTTCACCGGGACTCTCACTGAGTGTGTGTAATTTTTAACCGTGTGTGTGTTTGTATGTGTGTAACTCCAGGTGTCGGCTGCGTAAGAAGAATTGGAAGAACCCCGGATCGGTTTACCTAGACTGGCAGAAGTACGAGGAACACATTCCGATCTTCTCCAACTGGGACGTCTTCGTCGAATTGTTGAGCGGACCGGAGAAGTTAGTCAGGTAGGGGAGCGGTCGTCGCGCATCGCGTGATGACGTCAGGAGTTCGAATCACTGCAGCATAGATGGCCAGTGCCGTGGTTAGGGTTAGGGTTAGGGTTAGGGTTAGGGTTAGGTGTAGTAAAGGTTGTAACGATTAAAGGTTGCTGCTTTAATTGTATCCCCCGAACGAGTTCGGCTATATGACGATACTATGGCTACAAAAACGATTGGCGTCTTCGCTTTACCATAACGCACCTTCATGCCAAATTTGAAGATGAAATTTGAAATTTGAAATTTGATTCCATATACTTGCACATCTGAGGCAGACCAGTTGTCTAACAAACCTTTGTCTTTGTGACTTATTTAACTTTACCTGCCTTCTACGTCCTTACAGAGATATTCCATTCATACTAGATCACGGGGGATACATGTAGTTGGCGACAACTGCTCGTTTCTAGTTAAATTTCTTTTAGCAATGTTTTCCTCAGTCTGTACGTGCATATTATATCGCGTTTAAACTTCTCTCGTGTGATATGTTTCGGTGAGTAGTCACTTATACAGTCTGCATGCTTTCTGAGCCTATGTTATATCGCGCATGTGTGGATGTGACGGTGTGTGTTGTGTTACAGTGAGGGACAGTTGGCTGTGTGTACGTGTAGTAGTCATGGTGTATGTTGTGTTACAGTGAGGGACAGTTGGCTGTGTGTACGTGTAGTAGTCATGGTGTATGTTGTGTTACAGTTAGGGACAGTTTGCTGTTGTACGTGAGGCAGTAGTGTCTATGTTAGTACTCACGAATAGTGTGTTGTGTTACGTGAGGGACAGTTTGCTGTGTGTACGTGAGGCAGTAAGTGTCTATGTGTCAGGTAGTCACGCCATTGTGTTGTTTACGTGCCAAGGGACAGTTTGGCTGTGTGTACGTCGAGGCAGTAGTGTCTATGTGTGAGTCGCACGCGTGTAGTGTTGTGTTACAGTGAGGGACAGTTGGCTTGTGTGTAGTGAGGCAGGTATGTCTATGTGTAGTAGTCAAGATAGTTGTTAGTGTTAATGCAGTGAGGACAGTTGGCTGTGTGTACGTGAGGCCAGTGTGTCTATTGTCGGTTGTAATACACGGTGTA